CCACACAAAACCAACATTTTGATTGGAAAAAATGACATCGACTAATGAGAAATATCAAAGGAAATCTGTTCCAAAGGATTGACATTTTTTCTGTAACAATGTTGTTTAATATGGTTAAAGATAATACTTGTATGTAACACGTGGCATGACTAGGTGGATCACGTGACTGCACCGCAAGCGAAGTACGGTCTGATAAGTCTTCTATTTCTCAGCTGTTCAAGGACCACCGAGTAATTTATCAACTATTTCTCAGCTGTTCAAGGATCACCGAGTAATATATCAACCTTTTTGTAATCAGAATGCGAAACAAATATTTATGGTGAGTTTATTTTCATATTACACTGTATCAAATAGTTTCAAATTACACTGTATCAAATAGTTTTATATTACACTGTATCAAATAGTTTTATATTACACTGTATCAAATAGTTTTATATTACACTGTATCAAACAGTTTTATATTACACTGTATCAAATAGTTTTATATTACACTGTATCAAATAGTTTCATATTACACTGTATCAAATAGTTTTATATTACACTGTATCAAATAGTTTCATATTACACTGTATCAAATAGTTTTATATTACACTGTATCAAATAGTTTTATATTACACTGTATCAAATAGTTTTATATTACACTGTATCAAATAGTTTTATATTACACTGTATCAAATAGTTTCATATTACACTGTATCAAATAGTTTTATATTACACTGTATCAAATAGTTTCATATTACACTGTATCAAATAGTTTTATATTACACTGTATCAAATAGTTTCATATTACACTGTATCAAATAGTTTTATATTACACTGTATCAAATAGTTTTATATTACACTGTATCAAATAGTTTTATATTACACTGTATCAAATAGTTTTATATTACACTGTATCAAATAGTTTTATATTACACTGTATCAAATAGTTTTATATTACACTGTATCAAATAGTTTCATATTACACTGTATCAAATAGTTTTATATTACACTGTATCAAATAGTTTCATATTACACTGTATCAAATAGTTTTATATTACACTGTATCAAATAGTTTCATATTACACTGTATCAAATAGTTTTATATTACACTGTATCAAATAGTTTTATATTACACTGTATCAAATAGTTTTATATTACACTGTATCAAATAGTTTTATATTACACTGTATCAAATAGTTTTATATTACACTGTATCAAATAGTTTCATATTACACTGTATTTAATAGTTTCGGTTTTCCTATATTTCATATTACATCGTATCAAATAGTTTCAAAGTTTTCCTATCTTTCATATAATACTGTATCAAATAGTTTTAGAGTTTTTCTATCTTTCATATATGTTCTTAATCTTATAGACTCTTCGTTAAAACAGACATGAACTACAATAATAGATAATCCTTTTGATAATTTTTAAAATGGAAATAAATTAAACATAAAAACATAATAGTTATAAACATTTACGTCTATATTATACAGAGTGACGTCCACATTCTATAAACATTTACGTCTATATTATACAAAGTGACATCAACATTCTATAAACATTTACGTCTATATTATACAGAGTGACGTCCACATTCTATAAACATTTACGTCTATATTATACAGAGTGACGTCCACATTATATAAACATTTTCGTCTATATTATACATAGTGACATCAACATTCTATAAACATTTACGTCTATATTATACATAGTGACATCAACATTCTATAAACATTTACGTCTATATTATACAGAGTGACGTCCACATTCTATAAACATTTACGTCTATATTATACAAAGTGACATCAACATTCTATAAACATTTACGTCTATATTATACATAGTGACATCAACATTCTATAAACATTTACGTCTATATCATACAGAGTGACGTCCACATTCTATAAACATTTACGTCTATATTATACAAAGTGACATCAACATTCTATAAACATTTACGTCTATATTATACAGAGTGACGTCCACATTCTATAAACATTTACGTCTATATTAGAAAAGAGTGACGTCCACATTCTATAAACATTTACGTCTATATTATACAAAGTGACATCAACATTCTATAAACATTTACGTCTATATTATACATAGTGACATCAACATTCTATAAACATTTACGTCTATATTATACAGAGTGACGTCCACATTCTATAAACATTTACGTCTATATTATACAAAGTGACATCAACATTCTATAAACATTTACGTCTATATTATACATAGTGACATCAACATTCTATAAACATTTACGTCTATATCATACAGAGTGACGTCCACATTCTATAAACATTTACGTCTATATCATACAGAGTGACGTCCACATTCTATAAACATTTACGTCTATATCATACAAAGTGACATCAACATTCTATAAACATTTACGTCTATATTATACAGAGTGACGTCCACATTCTATAAACATTTACGTCTATATCATACAAAGTGACATCAACATTCTATAAACATTTACGTCTATATTATACAGAGTGACGTCCACATTCTATAAACATTTACGTCTATATTATAGAGTGACGTCCTTTTCCTATGAACTATTACGTCCGTATTATATAAACCCGTTTACTTCCGTATTTTACAATTGTGTAAATATTTATGCTAATTTTTTTTATGAAAAGAGAGATCTATTGAAGTGGCAAGTCGATCGATATTCCTTAAAAAGTCAGTGTTTCACTAATTAAGATTTCAGATTTTCAGATTTTCATATTTTATTAATACACTTTGACACATGAAAATGTGTAACATGAGGGCATACAGGTATTAACAATCAAATACTTGACAAGATGGATAGTAAGGTACATGTATACATACAACTCTACGTACCAGATAGTTTATATAGAACAAGTGTAGGAAATACAATCAAATTAAAGGTAACATTTTCTTCAAAAGGAATGCTAACTTTTTCGATATTTCAACATTTCCTGTAATCAGAAGTCGCTCCTATCTATACACATTCGGATTTTGGATAAGGTAATTAGCCAAGTATTTTGATTTGCTAATTTCTTCGTTTCTGCACATAAATATATAATGAAATTCATCCCCGATATATTGTTTACATAAACTGCACAGCCTTTCATCCCTTGGTATACTGCTCCAACGTCCAGTTTCTGTTGGGAATTTAATATTAGATGTGCGTAATTTAGCTATCAAAACTCTGTTTTGGTCAGATAACTTTGTTAAGTAACTTTCAAAATAAAATTTTCTTTTAATGTTCGAATAGTATTGACCTTTTGAAGACGACTCCATATCTGAGAACCATCTTTGTAAAAATATATCCAGAAGACGTTGTTTAATTTCAGTCTTATATAAATTCGAACTCATTTGGAATTCATTATCAAACACATACGTGTATCCAATATCATTAAAGGTCTGTTTGATGTGATCAAGCCATTTGAATATCATTTGTCCATTACAGTGTCATTTTGACATCAATCTGTAAAAAATATTGCTTAATTTATTTCCATTGATATGCAATTGATTCCAGAAGTTCAGCATTCTTAATTTAACTTTCATAAACATTTATTACATAAGTATTGTTTACACAGAATGTGAGTGTTTTTAAACTTTTATAGACATTACATAGATATTTACCCAACGACAAGCTTATGGTGGTTTTACGTACATAGAGAGAAGACTTGCCAAATATGTGATATCAGTTCCAAACTTGTCTATATACCAACAAAACGAGCCTTCAATGGTCGAAATACGGAAATGCGGATCAGTATTGAAATGGAATTCAGAAATAAAACATATGATGATGAATATTTGCATGGAAGAGGTTGTCAATAATGTTTACTGAATTGACATCAGCAGTGTCGAGCATTTCACATGTAGCACAAATTGATCAAAATCCCACTTCATTCGATAACATCTCGTCACATGGTTGCTTCGTTTTGTTAAGGACGTGTGAAATCGTAACCCAGATTATGTCAGGTCGGTAATTTACACAGAACTGAGGGCGTGTGTCATGAATCTTGTGGCGATCATGAATGTGAATAACACATGAAACAAGAAATGACTCAGGATGCATTTATCTAGCAGTGAAGGCAGTAACTAGTTCTTATACACAGTTCAAGAGTGTGTTAGGGGTATACAGCTACTTGTTCCACCGCAGATCATTTTCTCAGTGATTTATCCTAGTTAAAAGAGGTTTTCATGAAAGTTTCATAAACACCCTAATCGCTTCTGATATCCCGACTGAATAATATTATTTTTCAACACAAAAGGAAGTTACGGAAGCTTCTCTACAAGCATTTCGTGCAACATTTTCCCGTTTTCTCATAAACAAAGAATGCGCATAGACGATTTCCGCAGATGATGTCGCTTTATAGTGTTATCACACTGAAATATCATAATATGGATGTGGTAAAATGATATTCCAACCCCTTTACGAAATATTTTCAACAGACTGTGCTTAATTACAGTTTGCATTGCATGTGGAGCTGAGCGTAAGACTCACAGTTCAAATGTTTTCTGATGTACATCATCATCCGTTCTAAAAGGTTTGACTAACTTAGCACATGATGGAATGAAATAAAGACTATACCAATGACAGCTTACATTGCGCGTGAGCTGAACGTAAGCCACACACAAGCGAACACTTATTCAAAAGCTTTCATTTTCCTTGTTCAAGGGACATGTGATCTTCCTGATTAGTCGGGACACCAGAAGTTTATGCAAAAATTTTTTCTTTGTGAGAAAAGAGATTACAATTCTTGTGTCCTACCTACATCATCCTTCAGTAACATATCACAATGAATAAACTGTGAGTTGTGACCCACACCGTTGTGCCGTCTGAGATATCACAATCTGGTTACCAGAGCTGTTAAACGAGTTGTGCTGCATCAATCTTAATGTTTAAAAATTTGTTTTTCTTTCAAATATTTTCTTTTTATTACAGGGTGGTGTTCAGATGGCTATGTTGCTTAGCTTCTCTGATGGTGATATACAATCTTATAATTTATTTAAATATATTAAACATGGCAATACCGAAATCAGCCAAACAAGGAGAAACTGATCAGAGAGGACCAACCGATCAGAAACGTTACAGTGTTAATGGTGATCCTGTTCAACATATTGCGTTCATAAAGGTCCATAAAGCGGCGAGTACTACCGTACAGAATATATTCCTACGGTATGGATATCAACATGATCTTGTGTTTGCTTTACCAGCTGGAAAAGATCCTGCTGGTGTTACAGCATTCACAAAAAATAAAATCCGGACTTTACCAGAAAATAGGACTATAGATATTTTCTGTATTCATGTAAGATATAACAAGCATGATTTCTCTGCCATGCTTCCCAGTGATACTTTGTATATAGGCATTGTGAGGGAACCTTTCAGACAATTTCAATCAAATATACAGTTCCTACGTCATAAACGATGGATAAATATCCCATGTAATAAGTTGCCTGTTTCTCAATATTTGTCTCGTAATGAAAAATATGTAAAGATAAATGGCCGGGTTCGTTTACCTGTTGTATATAACGCAATGTCGTATGACTTTGGTTTCCCAGTAGAATTATTCTGGAAGTCCGATTACAATGCCATGCAGGATTATTTACTTGGGCTTAATGAGGAATTCGACATTGTACTTATAATGGAGTATCTAGATGAATCCATTGTGTTAATGAGACGACATTTAAACTGGGATCTTAAGTACGTTCTTTATGGGAAACTGAATGCATTGAAAAATCCAGATAAAGAACTGGTCTTTGGACCAGACGAAGAAAAACTATATCAGAATTGGGCTAAACTTGATTATGCACTATATTACTTTTTCCTTCAGAAGCATAAAGAACGTATGCAAAACCAGCCCCCAGATTTCTTTGAAGAGGTAGCTTACTTCAGAAAAACTAGAATTAAGTACGATCGTTTTTGTTCGAAAATAATCGCAGGCAACAATAGCAAAACTACTATGTCATTTGAAGGAAGCTCTTGGAATAAGCCATTTGTTATAAGTAGACTAGATTGCGAAAAACTATACACTGAAGACGTCGTTTTTTTAGACATGATAAGGAGAAAACAACAACTGCAAGATTTAATTCCTCAAAGAAATGAAATAAAGTGAGATAAAAGAATATTTTTTATATGCAGATGTTTCTGATTGTGGTCTCAGCCTCGTCAAGAAAACCCAAGAAAATACCTATATGTCAAGAAGTCCTTATCCAATTGCCATCAAATTAGGGGGAAATTATGAACAAAAGAAAGATCCGCACAAAGATTCATGAAAAAATACAAGGAGAATAAGACTAGGTGTACCGGTAGAGTAAGCGTCTTCCGCTTCATCAACGACACCTGCCATGTAAACAGTTTACCAATAATTCAATGTCTGAAAAATGGTATATATACTAAACCAGTTTCATGAAATGTCGGGCAAAGCATTCTTATTGGGATTTAGATAGTCCCGAACTACAGAGAGTCTATCATTTCAGTATCATCCATACAATGGGGGAACAAGTACGAGATATACAGAAAGATATTGTGTAACATCTGACCACTTCTAACGTACCTGACTGGATAAGTTCCGAAATCATTGGTACACGAAGACAGATCTCGTGCCATAGACGAACACACTACCATTCAATCCATAAGATAAAAATTCTAAGATACAAACTTTCCTCAGCTTTATACTATATTACACATTTTAATTTTTTTTCTATCAATCATTCAGGATGGAACTTTACATATATGGAAGCAAATGGAAAGGGGGTTTTATGTTGGAGTAAACTGTAGGACCACGAGAGAAAAGAATTGATGGAAATTCGCGCTCGAGGGATTCCATTAATATTGGATTTGGAGCCTTTGTCTGTCCAACGCAGTATTACTACGCATGCTTATAGACACGTTAAAGTCAAGAAAATTAGATATTATTATTTTACCGAACTCCAACAATTACTTACAGTCTAAGATTGTACAGGAAGTCAAGTTCGTTTAGGTAGAACCATTTTGATTAAAACAAAATTCTAGAGAATATCGACTTGACAACGAAATCGGCCGTCAAACCTTATGTGATAGTACGAAGGGTTAAGAACGATTTAAACAGAAGCTTTTGAAAACCTTTAGGCACGACAAGACCGGTTTTCAGGATGGCAAAACAGCGTCATCTTTTTCACCGACGACATCCATAAGTAACGTTATATTCTCAATACTAGAATTAGGATTAATAGCCAAGAAACCACCAAGCATACTACAGCACATTTCGTACAACGGACTTTTCTATCGTGAAAAAATGCGTACATAATCTACATCAGTTTTTATCTCTCGAAATCTTGAATTTTATGTTTTTTCGGTGTTCTTTTCACCATAACTACCCGGTAGAATTATTGTATATCAGACGTGACAGAACAAACTAAATGTTGATAACCAACGCCTGAGAGTGATAACCTGGCTGTAGACGTTACTTATATCTACTGATCACTAACAAGCATACATATATATATTAGGAACGTCTCTTGATAATTGTTATAATGCATAATCATGTGTTTTAGCGATGTATGTTTTCCTATCAAGCCCATCTTACTAACAGACAATTGTAAATAAGACAATTTACTGGTTTTTTATGAATAATGCACCTCGATTTTACAAACGGCATACAGGTGAACAGCACCTTTTAATACGAAATGGTTAGATACAATAAAGATAAATAACGAAGCTGTCACAATTTGAATGAAATGAAAATTGTCGTACGAGTAACGGGAAACCTCAGGTTCATCAGCAGTGTCTGCCACCTGCTATCTCAAAGACTGTACAAAAGACACACAAAAGCACCATTTAATCATTTGATACAAATTTAGAGTTAGATACGGCAGAGCTAAACAATGGATTGAATTGCATCAACCCGCTGTTCAACCAGAAGTCATAAACCTGAACTGTTACATTCTTCCATAATTCATTATCTCCCTGTTCGCCTCTTATGTTTCACGAATTTAGTCTTTACTATCACTGACGAGTCCCAGGAGGATTAAACAGCTACATAGTGCAGTTTAAATCACCATTTTGCCATTTTTTTCCTAATTTTATATTTTGTATTGAAAGGTGACATTCAGCTTTGTATTTTATGAAACAAAAAATGTACAATCCTATTTAAGTCTTAGAGGTTAGTTTGATATTTCATTTCGTCAACTCAAAATTTTAACAAATTAAAGAAGTTTGTTTAGTGTTCTGCTGTTTAGCTGTATAGCGTGTGTGGCTGCTGCTGTAGTAAGTAGTTATAAAACTGTATGGTTAGTGCATAGATCGAAACAACATCGATAAGACAGACATTTTGATTATACTACTCGATATTAACACACCACATATTTTCAGTCCTTTAGCTGATAGTCAAATTCACTATACGATCACAGAAACAAACAGGTGAAACAAGTAAATAGGTTCTTCTGTGATGTATAGTAAGCTGCCCTCCGTCCGTCGGCAGTATACAACAAATTTCTACCTAATATAATATCACATTAAAGACACATATGTGATATACTACTATAAAGCAGCAAGGTTTGGTGGACATCAATGTTATCAATATTCACCATGTAATATCAAATATAGATTAACGATTTCTCACTTTCTGCTACGTCACATAAAAACGGGCGTCATTAATTGATATTGAATGAAATCAATACTAAATTAGAATTTCATTACTTTTATATGTTTTATGTACATTATATTATCAATAAAATGTTGAGACATATTAACATTAAGGGTAACGTACACCGCGTGTATTTGTATAAATAACCTGGCAATTTCGTCACCTTCATACTTTGCCCTAGTATTAGGGAATTTGAGCTTGGAGTATGATGATATTGACATATTGGTATTTTCTTGTCGTTTCCTGGTGTCTTTCTGCATATTCAGTACATGTTAAAATCGATACTATTGGATTGTATTTAAGAACGAAATCAATTGCCCACGAAATGATGTACAATGTATATAATGATATATTTCGCTGTTTACTGCAGAACTGACTTCAGTAAGGTCAAAGTTGATCGGTTCCATCTCATTACAACGTTTATCCTTCAGAAATCACTATTCTACATTACCCTCTATCTCCCCTACATTACCCTCTATCTCACCTACATTACCCTCTATCTCCCCTACATTACCCTCTATCTCCCCTACATCACCCTCTATCTCACCTACATTACCCTCTATCTCACCTACATTACCCTCTATCTCACCTACATTACCCTCTATCTCACCTATATTACCCTGTAACTCCCCTACATTACCCTCTTTCTCTTTCTCACTTACATTACCCTCTGTCTCATCTACATTAACTCTATCTCCCCTACATTAACCTCTGTCTCCCCTACATTACCCTCTATCTCACCTATATTACCTTCTTTCTCCCCTACATTACCCTCTTTCTCACCTACATTACCCTCTATCTCCCCTACATTAACCTCTGTCTCCCCTACATTACCCTCTATCTCACCTATATTACCTTCTTTCTCCCCTACATTACCCTCTTTCTCACTTACATTACCCTCTGTCTCACCTACATTAACTCTATCTCCCCTACATTAACCTCTGTCTCCCCTACATTACCCTCTATCTCACCTATATTACCTTCTTTCTCCCCTACATTACCCTCTTTCTCACTTACATTACCCTCTGTCTTACCTACATTACCCTCTTTCTCACCTATATTACCCTCTATCTCACCTACATTACCCTCTGTCTCACCTACATTAACTCTATCTCACCTACATTAACTCTATCTCACCTACATTACCCTCTATCTCCCCTACATTACCCTCTATCTTACCTACATTACCCTCTTTCTCACCTATATTACCCTCTTTCTCACTTACATTACCCTCTGTCTCACCTACATTAACTCTATCTCACCTACATTACCCTCTATCTCCCCTACATTACCCTCTATCTTACCTACATTACCCTCTTTCTCACCTATATTACCCTCTATCTTACCTACATTACCCTCTATCTCCCCTACATTACCCTCTATCTCACCATCCTCTATCTCCCCTACATTAACTCTATCTCCCCTACATTACCCTCTATCTCACCTACATTACCCTCCATCTCACCTACATTACCCTCTATCTCCCCTATATTACCCTCTATCTCACCTACATTACCCTCTATCTCCCCTACATTACCCTCTATCTCCCCTACATTACCCTCTTTCTCTACGTTACAACATTTTACATATTTCCTTTTATCAATGTTTTTGTTGTTAATTTTTCTTTTGTTCTTGTCTGCTATCGGTAATAATTTTCTTGTGACTGTCTACTTTATTCTAATGTATTCCCTCGTGTATATATAATTTACGATACATGTAAATTTCTATTCGTTTGATTTACATGATGATGTTTAAAACAAAATTACACGGGGAACCTACACACTTCTGTTGTGTTCCTTATCATCTCCATGGAAAGAACACATAAACTGTCTCTAAATGGTAATTTTGAACCACTACCAGACCAACACTGTTCAAAGGGAAACGTGAAAGTGTAAAAAAAAAAAACAAGAAACAAAACAAAGTAAAAAAACATCAATATCAGATGTGCTCCGAGGTCACAATGAGCCTCAAAATGACTCCGGAAATAAATATGTATCGTCGTTATAAGAATTATATGCTGTCGAACCTCGTTATCTCGAACTCGGCGAGATGGGAAACTACGAGATAAACGAGTATATTATTTAAGTGAGTTTGAATGTATTGTGAAAAGTTAGACAGGAACTGACAAAACAATTCGAATTAAACGGGATATTCGAGATATATAAACATTATTGGCAGATATCTGTACACTTACAAACAACCTATTTCAGAGACACCTCTTTGAACGTAGAGATGCTTGTAATATCGTGTTGAATTACGATGTCCCTAGATGTCATAAGGCACGATAAGGGTGTTTAAACGTTTTCCTGAAATGCATAAATATAGATTTTCTGTTACAAATATGGCTCAACCATTACATCTGTAATACGTCCTTGTCTATGTCAGCGTGACACGTGTGAGAAGGATAGGTGCATCACGTGACAGACCAAATGACGTATGATTAAAGTACAGCATAGAAACAAAATGATCACACACAAAGCAAACTTTCTTTTCCTAGAGATGTGGTGAATAGCAGCACCACCATGCGTCATCAATTTTTGTGGTAAGTGTATCTACATAAAAAACATATTTAAGATAAAACTGTAATATTTATTATCAAATCAGTTTTCTGTTTATGTAGATTTCTGCCTGGTCGTTCCTTTGAATTCATTCAGTATTGACAAAGGCTCCCCCTCCCTCTCGTTTTTGACATTTATTTTGACCAGTTTAGAATTTCCTCACTTTTGAAATCAGGGCTATATGACATGTATACACTTATTTTTTTCCAGTTTGAGGAAAATTTCCCAAAAGGTAGATTACTTTTAGTCATATTGACAAGTTCGCAATTGTTATAGGTATTTCACAAAAACATGAATTTCTGTAAGTTTTTGTGATTCTGTTTTCTGTTCTGTTAGGACAGTGGTCGTCGGCTTATGTTGTCTGATTGGCTGGGAATTATACGGTAACTATCAAATCTACGTGCACACAAGTAACTCAGAAATGCCGAAAGGGATTCAGAAGCGAGTAGCTGTTGAAGGAAAAGAGACGCTCACTAGGAATCGATACAGTGTTAGAGGCAATCCCGTCCAACATATAGCGTTCATAAAGGTACACAAAGCAGCAAGCACTACCATGGAAAATATATTCCTACGGTATGGATATGAACATGACCTTGTGTTTGCTCTCCCAAGAAAAAAGGATCGAGGTGGAATAAAATTTTTGACAAAACAAAATATCCTTCCGATACCAAAAAACAAACACATTGACATTTTCTGTACACATGTAAGATATGTAAAGGAAGATTTTCACGATATGCTTCCAGGTGATGCCGTGTATATTGGGATCGTTAGAGAACCATTCAGCCAGTTTGAATCAAGTATACGTTTTTTACGTCAAAAGGTTGTGGTAGATATACCAGTGAAAAACCCTGTCTGGGAGTATTTAGCACACAATGAAAAATATATGAAACATGGTGGAGACCGTATTCCAACTACCTATAACTTTATGTCGTATGATTTTGGTTTTCCAATCGAATTATTCTGGAAGACAGATTTCAATGCCATGCAGGATTATTTACTTAAACTTAATGAGGAATTCGACATTGTACTTATAATGGAGCATCTAGATGAATCCATTGTGTTAATGAGACGACTTTTAAACTGGGATCTCAGGTTCGTGCTTTATGGGAAACTGAATGCGAAGAAAAGTTTAGATTCACGATTGAAGTTTGGACCCAATGAAGAAAAACTATATCAGAATTGGGCCAAACTGGATTATGCTCTTTATTACTTTTTCCTTCAGAAACACAAAGAACGTATACAAAACCAGCCCCCAGATTTCTTTGAGGAGTTAGCCTATTTCAGAGAAACCAGAATGAAGTATGATCACTTCTGTTCGGGGTTACTTGCTGGTAATATTAGTAAGTCTCAGCTTTCGTTTGAAGGAAGTGCTTGGAATAAACCGTTTATCATCTCAAAAGAAAATTGTGAAAAATTGTATATACACGACGTTACGTTTATAAATATACTAAAGAGAAGGCATTTGCAGTCATGAAATAAATTTTAAATCTGCGTCTAAATTTGAAAGTGTTTATTATTTTCTTGTAGCATAATCAGGTATGACGTCATTGCTACTAATGACAGGTATGACGTCATTTATATCAATGACATGTATGGCGTCAGTTCTACTAATGATAATTGTGGGGTCATTGTTACTAACGAACTTACAACCATTTAACAGAGAACAAAGACAAAATTTGACATCATTCGAAGCTAGGAACAACAATTTTTGTTGGTAGCATATTTCAAATCTACAGTTCGACCGAGTCTCTGAGTGAGTACAGTTCGACCATGTCTCCGAGTGAGTACAGTTGTCCGTGTCTCTGAGTGAGTACAGTTCGACCGTGTCTCCGAGTGAGTACAGTTCGACCGTGTCTCTGGGTGAGTACAGTTCGACCGTGTCTCTGAGTGAGTACAGTTCGACCGTGTCTCTGAGTGAGTACAGTTCGACCGTGTCTCTGAGTGAGTACAGTTCGACCGTGTCTCTGAGTGAGTACAGCTTGACCGTGTCTCTGAATGAGTACAGTTCGACCGTGTCTCTGAGTGAGTACAGCTCGACCGTGTCTCTGAGTGAGTACAGCTTGACCGTGTCTCTGAATGAGTACAGTTCGACCGTGTCTCTGAGTGAGTACAGCTTGACCGTGTCTGAATGTGTACAGTTCGAACTTGTTGCGAAGTGAGTACAGTTCGACCGTGTCTCTGAGTGAGTACAGCTTGACCGTGTCTCTGAGTGAGTACAGCTTGACAGTGTCACTGAGTGAGTACAGTTCGACCATGTCTCCGAGTGAGTACAGTTCGACCGTGTCTCTGGGTGAGTACAGTTCGACCGTGTCTCTGAGTGAGTACAGTTCGACCGTGTCTCTGAGTGAGTACAGTTCGACCGTGTCTCTGAGTGAGTACAGTTCGACCGTGTCTCTGAGTGAGTACAGCTTGACCGTGTCTCTGAATGAGTACAGTTCGACCGTGTCTCTGAGTGAGTACAGCTCGACCGTGTCTCTGAGTGAGTACAGCTTGACCGTGTCTCTGAATGAGTACAGTTCGACCGTGTCTCTGAGTGAGTACAGCTTGACCGTGTCTCTGAATGTGTACAGTTCGAACTTGTTGCGAAGTGAGTACAGTTCGACCGTGTCTCTGAGTGAGTACAGCTTGACCGTGTCTCTGAGTGAGTACAGCTTGACAGTGTCACTGAGTGAGTACAGTTCGACCATGTCTCCGAGTGAGTACAGTTCGACCGTGTCTCTGAGTGAGTACAGCTTGACCGTGTCTCTGAGTGAGTACAGCTTGACCGTGTCTCTGAGTGAGTACAGTTCGACCGTGTCTCTGAGTGAGTACAGCTTGACCGTGTCTCTGAATGAGTACAGTTCGAACTTGTTGCGAAGTGAGTACAGTTCGACCGTGTCACTGAGTGAGTACAGTTCGACCATGTCTCCGAGTGAGTACAGTTCGACCGAGTCTCTGAGTGAGTACGGTTCGACCGTGTCGCTGAGAGAGTACAGTTCGACCGTGTCACTGAGTGAGTACAGTTCGACCATGTCTCCGAGTGAGTACAGTTCGACCGAGTCTCTGAGTGAGTACGGTTCGACCGTGTCGCTGAGAGAGTACAGTTCGGCCGTGTCTCTGAGTGAGTACAGTTCGACCGTGTCTCTGAGTGAGTACAGTTCGACCGAGTCTCTGAGTGAGTACAGTTCGACCGTGTCTCTGAGTGAGTACAGCTCGACCGTGTCTCTGAGTTGAGTGAGTACAGTTCGACCGTGTCTCTGAGTGAGTGAGTGAGTACAGTTCGACCGAGTCTCTGAGTGAGTACAGTTCGACCGTGTCACTGAGTGAGTACAGTTCGACCGTGTCGTGAAGTGAGTACAGTTCGACCGTGTCGCTGAGAGAGTACATTTCGACCGTGTCTCTGAGTGAGTACAGTTCGACCGTGTCACTGAGTGAGTACAGTTCGACCGTGTCGCGAAGTGAGTACAGTTCGACCGTGTCGCTGAGAGAGTACATTTCGACCGTGTCTCTGAGTGAGTACAGTTCGACCGTGTCTCTAAGTGAGTACAGTTCGACCGTGTGGCTGTGTGAGAACAGTTCCATCGTGTCTATGAGAGAGTACAGTTCGACCGTGTTGCTGAGTGGGTATAGTTTGACCGTGTCGCAGAATGAGTACAGTTCGGTCGTGTCGGTGAGTGAGTACAGTTCGACCGTGTCGCTGAGTGGGTATAGTTCGACCGTGTCGCAGAATGAGTACAGTTCGACCGTGTCGGTTAGTGAGTACAGTTCGACCGTGTCGCTGAGTGGGTATAGTTCGACCGTGTCGCAGAATGAGTACAGCTCGACTGTGTCGGTTAGTGAGTACAGTTCGACCGTGTCGCTGTGTGAGTACAGATCGAACCTGTCGCGTAGTAAGTACAGTTCGACCGTGTCGCTGAGTGAGTACAGGTCGACCGTGTTGCTGAGTGAGTACAGGTTGACCGTGTTGCTATGCATTATGTCTGAATATTGTACTGGGAATGTTATGGGGGACATACATATGTATTTTTAAGAATATCAATATTGATCATCCGCTTTATTAGATACTTTACTTTCATTCGCACGTGTCAGTGCAAAACAATAAACCACTTAACTACCAGTCTTTCGGCAAAGCATACAACAACAACAAAAACAACAACAACAAATGAAATAAACGCATCAAAGAATAAGTACAGTTAAAAAAGTAAACAAAACAAATAACAATAAATAAATAAAAATAATAAATAAAACACAAAACAAAGCCTATTTGATACTTACCCAAACAATTAGGAAAAATGAAATGTTAGTACCAGAGTGTTAACAATCAGCACATTAGGTTCGATACGTCAAACCCAAAGCAAACACAAAAAGCATCACATTAATTCGGACAGATTTTCGGAAATGATCAAATTTCACGTATCTTAACAAGAAAAATGGTTCCATACATCTACAGCGTTATATAAAAAATTGAGTGTTCAATACAGTTTTGTATTACATCGTTGGTGTATCACATGGTTACTGTATCACATGGTTAATGTGTCACATGGTTACTGTATCACATGGTTACTGTTACTGCATCACATGGTTACTGTATCACATGGTTAATGTGTCACATGGTTACTGTATCACATGGTCACTGTATCACACGGTTACTGTATCACATGGTTACTGTATCACATGGTTATCGTATCACATGGTTACTGTATCACACGGTTACTGTATAACATGGTTACTGTATCACATCGTTACTGTATCACATAATTACTTTATCACATCGTTACTGTATCACATCATTACTGTATCACATGGTTACTGTATCACATGGTTAATGTGTCACATCGTTACTGTATCTTATGGCTACTATATCACATGGTTAATGTGTCACATGGTTACTGTATCACATGGTTACTGTATCACATGGTTACTGTATCACATGGTTACTTTATCACATGGTTACTGTATCACATCGTTACTGTATCACATGGTTACTTTATCACATGGTTACTGTATCACATGGTTACTGTTACTGCATCACATGGTTACTGTATCACATGGTTAATGTGTCACATGGTTACTGTATCACATCGTTACTGTATCACATGGTTACTTTATCACATGGTTACTGTATCACATGGTTACTGTTACTGCATCACATGGTTACTGTATCACATGGTTAATGTGTCACATGGTTACTGTATCACATGGTCACTGTATCACACGGTTACTGTATCACATGGTTACTGTATCACATGGTTATCGTATCACATGGTTACTGTATCACACGGTTACTGTATAACATGGTTACTGTATCACATCGTTACTGTATCACATAGTTACTTTATCACATCGTTACTGTATCACATCATTACTGTATCACATGGTTACTGTATCACATGGTTACTGTATCACATGGTTAATGTGTCACATCGTTACTGTATCTTATGGCTACTATATCACATGGTTAATGTGTCACATGGTTACTGTATCACATGGTTACTGTATCACATGGTTACTGTATCACATGGTTACTTTATCACATGGTTACTGTATCACATCGTTACTGTATCACATGGTTACTTTATCACATGGTTACTGTATCACATGGTTAATGTGTCACATGGTTACTGTATCACATGGTCACTGTATCACACGGTTACTGTATAACATGGTTACTGTATCACATCGTTACTGTATCACATCATTACTGTATCACATCGTTACTGTATCACATGGTTACTTCATCACATGGTTACTGTATCACATGCTTACCGTATCACATGGTTACTGTATCACATGGTTAATGTATCACATGGTTACTTCATCACATGGTTACTGTATCACATGGTTACTGTATCACATGGTTAATGTGTCACATCGTTACTGTATTTTATGGCTACTGTATCACATGGTTAATGTGTCACATCGTTACAGTATCACATGGTTACTGTATCACATGGTTACTTTATCACATGGTTACTGTATCACATGGTTATTGTATCACATGGTTAATGTGTCAAATGGTTACTTTATAACATGGTTAATGTGTCACATGGTTACTGTATAACATGGTTAATGTATCACATCGTTACTGTATCACATGGTTACTTTATCACGTGGTTACTGTATCACATGGTTACTGTATCACATGGTTTCTTTATAATATCGTTACTGTATCACACCGTTACTGTATCACATCGTTACTGTATCACAAGGTTACTGCATCACATGGTTACTTTATCACCTGGTTACCGTATCACATGGTTACTGTATCACATGGTTACTGTTACAGTATCACTTGGTTACTGTATCACATGGTTACTGTTACTGTATCACATTGTTAATGTGTCACATCGTTACTGTATCACATGGTTACTGTATCACATCGTTACTGTATCACATGGTTACTGTATCACATGGTTACTTCATCACATGGTTACTGTATCACATGGTTACCGTATCACACGGTTACTGTATAACATGATTACTGTATCACATGGT